CTCTACACCCCCGCCCCCCCCCCAGCTGCACCTGACTGCTCCAGGAATGCTGCTCCTGCTCCTCTGCTACATGGGCTCCGACAGCTGCCCTTGGCTAGGTTTCGGGTAGCACAACATAAAGAAGCCCTCCTTTTTTGGTGTGGTGTGGGGCTTAGATGTTTCAACGGGGATTCAGAGTTGAAACTGCAACTGGTTCCCATAACCTGCCCAACACAAACTGCCAACCTGTTTTAGCCCAGTCAAGCATGTTATGTGAATTCAATCTGTATGTTAAGCTCTGGAGAGGGGGAAAAGTGGGTCAGCTGAGAAGTCTGAACAGTCACCATTTTTAAAGAGTCCAATAGCTCTATTACTGACTTGCAAGAGGTAGGGCCACCCTTCCCTTCAGACAGTTCTATCTGGTTGGTGGCATCACTGCGAGGCACACTTTTGGGTGAGTTTGGGCCTTCTCAGCATTCTGCCCAATTTATACAATTGCTGCAACCTCAGCTGAGGGCGTAGAGGCTCTTCATTAATCACCAGAGAGTTTTGTAGATTGAACAAAATGATCTATAATGCCAGTAAAGATCCAGTTCTTCTAATAAACATTATGCTTGGTCCAGGAAGCATCTTCTGGAAAATTAAGAAGGTAGGTCATGACCAGGCCTTCCAGCCTATAAGTTCTTCTTCTTCTTCTTCTCCTTCTTTTTGCTCGAGACTTGGTCATGACAAAACTCTGGGTTGGGGCTGTGAGATAAATTCTGTTTTTCTCAAGATGAGTAAAACAGCTGGATTGAGACTGCAAGCCACACACCAGGAAGCAAGCTGAGGAACAAAGTTGTCTGAGGGGAACTGGTGTACGGTGGGCTCTGTGGCCAGTGGCTACTAGAGAGGGTGGCTCTTTGCCCGCTGCCCTACCCATGCTGGCTTGGGAGAACCAGGGTCCACACGTACATGAAAAGCTGTTTGGGTGTGTGCACTTGGCCGTGGCCTTTTTATGCAGTTATCGGGCAGGCTCCCTCCACATAAAGCAAGAGTAGGACACACACTTGGCATGAAGAGAGTCAGCCTGATCCAAAAATATCAGGTCAAATAAAAACAATCCTGACCATGATGTAGGAGAGCTCCAGATAGCAACTGCAAACTCTGGGTGAAAAGGACCCTCAGTCTCACTGGCTTCCTCTCTCTGGAAGGTTTCGAGTTTCTTGCCACAGGCTCTGATGGGACGCAGCAACGCAAATCCAGGAGGAGGGTTGCCCATTCTTGCAAGCAGAGACCCTGCTTTGAGCGTTCTTTCTTTCTTTCCTCCTTAGGACTTCAGCTGTGCTCTGGGACACTTGCCTTGGAGGTTTCGGTGGGCAAGGCACCTGTTATTTATGCAAAGAATGGCACCAATGTGCTGCTGCCCTGCACTTTCAACTCCTGCATCGGCATTGAGAAAGCCAACTTCTCATGGAGCCACAATCAGACTGAAGTGTGTGGCCTATGACAATTTAGGTTGGGCTGGGCTGGGAGGGAGGCTGATGGGCTGCATTTATGGCTGATGCTGATGTGGCTGCTCTGTCTGAGGGTTAGATGTTTTGATGAAGTTAGATTCCAAGGAGAAAATATGCATGTTACGGCAGAACATGCTGAGAACCTTGTGGCACCATGAAGATGAATGCATTTACAGGTAGTCCTCACTTAACGACCATAATTGGGACCAGGAACTCCATCATTAAGTGATGTGGTCATTAAATGAGACATTACATGACCATGGCTTGTGATTTTACTGCCGGCTTCTCCATTGACTGCTTGTCGGAAGCTGACTGTGAAGCGCGCAAATGGTAATCATGTGACCGCAGGACGCTGCAATGGTCATAAACGCTGTAATGGTCATAAGTGCAAGGACTGGTCATAAAGTTACTTTTTCAGTGCCATTGTAACTTTGAATGGTTGCTAAACAGGGCAGTCATTAAGTGAGGTCTACCTGTACTATTAATGTTTATGAGATAAATTCCTTATTCTTTAAGGTGTCACATGACTATTGGTTGCTTTTATTAATGATAATCAGCAATCTTGAAGGTAGCCTTCACATTTAATCAATAGCAAGTAAAGGGTTCTTCTAAGTCCTCAGCCTTGTCCTGTCTCTGTTTACCAGTCCTGCAAAGTTTGGGCTGTGCACTTGGTCAGCATGGAGAACACCCAGAGAGGAAGGAAGAGCCATTCCTTCCTTATAGTCCCACCAGCAGCTGTAAAGGCACAGGGTCTAGAGTCCTGTGATCCCTGTGCCCTTCCAGGGTTTGTGGATCAAGAGAGAAGCAGTCCAGCTCCCCAGTCCTGAGATGAAGAACTCTGTGCACAGAGTCCCCCATTTATGGCCCACCCATTTCCCAAGAAATGGGGTCTAAGCGTGGAGGGGGAAGGGAAAAAGTTGTAGCCCTAAGAAGCAACAGCATTCAAACAGACAACTATCTGCACCAGCAGCGGAGGAAGAGTGGGAACAGTTCCCTCTATCCGGCCTCCACCCTCAGAGAAATCTCACCATGACACCTTCTCAGCGCCTTTGTTGAGAAGAAGCCCCTAGAAAGCTGCATGGTGAGCTGTGTCAGATAGTCCTTGTATGGCAAAGAGAACTTCCCTTGGGAAATTCCACCATAAGATTTTCGGAGCCATGTCTTCACTCATTGGTGTTCACTTGCTGCAGATCTTCAAAGGGGTCATAAAGAACAAAGACTCCAAGCCTGAGCCATACGCAGAGTACAAGTCCAGCCTTAAGCACATGTTGCCACCTGACCTAGCTCTCAGCAAGGACAACCGGGAGTTCAATGTTTCCCTCCTGCTGCTTGATGCTGACTTTGAGGACTCTGGGCCATACACCTGCTTGGTCAAGAACCCCAAGGAGAAGGATGCCAATCACAGTGGCACCTTCACTCTCAAGGTGGTCGTGGCGTGTGAGTAGCAGCTGGGCAGTGGGCCCTGGGGGAGTGGGTCTGGGTGAGGTCTTCCTCTGAGCCATCGGCTTGCTGAGATTGAGCATGGGGAAGCCCCTGGCTTGAGAGTGCAGGCAGGAGGCTCCTCTCTCCCTCACTGCCTTCTCTGCCTCCCCAGTGGAGAAGGTTGACAACACACTGACGCTGATCATTTTGTCTGTTGCGGGTGGTGCCATTGGGCTCCTCATCCTTATCATGCTGGCCAAGAAACTGGTCCTCTTCCTTCTCAAGAAGACACGGAAACAGAAGTGAGTGTGCTTGTGCTGCCTTGCGCAAAGTGTGGGCAGGCAGCCTTCCTTTTTCCAGTTCTGGCTGGCTCAGGAGGAGCTCCTCAAGTGAGGGGACAGGACAGTCTGGTTCTCCAGACATGAGGTTTAGGATGCGAGCAGGGCTTGGCTTGCCCTCCTGCCATTGCAGACTCCTCAAGGCGGTGGAGCTCCTGAGATGCCTCGCCCTCCTGCCAGATGGCTTGGGAGGAGCAACCTCAGGGACAGTCCCTGCTTGTGACCGCCCCAGGGTGAAGCAGGACTGGGTCAGGGACAGACACAGCTAGCTTCTTTTCTGTCTTCTGCAGGGAGTGCCTTGTGAGTTCTTCAGCAAACGAGAACACTGAGAATGGACTGCCTGTCGCCAAAATAGCCCCTAAATCAGCACCAAAAGCCTGACTCCATGAACTGCAGGTCTCTGGGATCCAACCCTCCAAGCTGACCTGCCAGACAACGGGACTCACGCAAGGGGAGGAGAGGACCCTCTTTCAAACAACTGCTGCTTCAGACATGACTGTTACACAGCTGGCTGCAAAAGGCGCTTCTTCTTGGGTGAAACTGCAGAGCCGGATGGCAGGCAGGGCATTGCTCATGGTCTGAGGGGTGGCGGGGATGAGGTTGCAGGGCTGTGGGCTCAGGCAGGCCTTCAGCTTCAAGAAGCCACGTAGTTCCAAGAATGCAGTAGATGGGCACTAGACCAAAGACTTGGTTCTCCTTCTGATAAGGGGCAATCAAGCGTCAGCAACATTGGGTGGGTGGAAATGCCACCTTCCTGCCTCAGAAGGTAGAGGAGAAAGAGATGAATGAAGGGGCAGGGGTGGGAAGGTGGGTGTGCTTTAACCACATCTTGAAACCATAGCTGATCTTGTTGCTCCTCTGCTGAATCTTGGTTTCTGTGCTGCATTCTTATGAGGAGGGAGGTGGGCACTGCTTTGCTGGAGGCCCAGTGGAGCTGGGTTCATGGTCTCCTTACCCCCTTCAGGGGTCAGGGTTGGGGGTGGCTGCACCTGACCTGGGTCTTTCTCCAGATCTCCTCCCGGCAAGAGAGCAGAGCAGATGCGCAGCAATGCCTTAAGACGGGAGCCAGGCGGTGGCTTCTTTGCATGGTCTCTTGGCCTGAGGCTGCCCTGGCTCAGGGAGCAACCCGACGCCCAAGTGCTCCCCTGCCTTGCCCCAGATCCTTCCTCTAGCCTTCTCTTCTTCTCTTGCATGCTCAGTTCCTGGTCTCCTTGCCAGGGAGAGGGGAGCGAAGGGGCTGCAGCCCCAGGAATGCTGCCTGTGCCTGTGG